CTGGTCAGGGTGCGCCTCCTGGTGGCTCCTATCCGAATCAGCAGCCTGGAATGTACCCGCAACAACAATCGGTAGGAAAGCATTTAATAAAACATTTTGCTATTTAATTTTATTTGACATTGGTATAATGACAAAATGTTACTGAAAGCCTTGTCACACACATTTAAAATGTAATTTGTTGCCTTTAGAACTACAAAAGACCAGCTGATGGTGGTTACCCACCAGCTAAACGGCATCATGACGGTGAGATGTTCAGTGGGCCATACAACACTCAGCAGCCACAGCCACCGGCGCAGGCTCCCCCTAGTGGTCCCTCAAGTGGTCAGGAAATATACAGCCAGTATAACAGTTCCTACCCTGGCTCAGACCGTCGTCCACCTGGCCCTCAGAATCAGTTCCCTTTCCCCTTTGGAAGAGATCGGATGCAAGCAGCCACGGGCCCAAACTCCCAGGGTTCCATGCCACCTCAAATGATGGGCAGTCCAATGCAGTCTGGTCCTGACGGTCCTCAAGGTGGCATGTGGCAGGGCCGAGGTGATATGGGCTACCCTAGTTACCCCAACCGCCAGGGACCTCCTACTGGTCCCGGTCAGGGCCCTGGCTACCATGCAATGAATCGATCTGAAGACATGATGCCATCTGAACCACGCATGAATCATGAGGGCCAGTGGCCTGGGCCACGACAACCCCCATATGGCCCTAGTGGCACAGGTCCACCAATGAGCAGACCCTTGCAGTCAAATTACCAGTCTCCCCAAACCATGCAAAACCACATTCCACAGGTGTCAAGCCCCACGCCCATGCCTCGTCCTATGGAAAGCAGGACTTCCCCCAGCAAATCTACCTACATACCCAGCAATATCAAAATGCAGAAGGCGGGACCTCCAGTGCCTGCATCTCACATTGTACCCTCAGTACAGCCTCCAATGATGAGAAGAGACCTGTCCTTCCCTCCAGGTTCCATAGAGGCAACGTCACCAGTTCTCAAATCACGTAGGCGTCTTACCATGAAAGAAATTGGTAAGAAATAATTGTTTTTTGTAGTGAATTACATTTTGGATATTTATCAGGCTCAAACCTGTGAGATATGGAAAGATAACTGTATACTACTTTTGTAGGCACTCCAGAAGCATGGAAAGTCATGATGTCCCTTAAATCAGGACTGTTGGCAGAGAGTACATGGGCTTTAGACACCATCAACATCTTGTTATATGATGACAACAGTATTTCAAATTTCAACCTTATACAGGTGAGTCATTTTGGGAAAATGACAAAAATGTTTATTGCCATTACTAAAGTTTTATCTTGGATAACATACTAATGTTTTCTTTTGAAGCTCCCTGGTTTCCTGGAACTAATCGTTGAGTATTTCCGCCGTTGCCTCATTGAGATCTTTGGGATTCTGAGGGAATATGAAGTTGGTGATCCAGGACAAAGAGCTCTGTTAGATCCCAGCGTGCTCAAAAAAGATGAAAACACTGTGGATGATGAGGCATTGGTTGAGTGCGTGGAGGACGATGGAGAAACAGAGGAGGAAGATGAAGGAGAGGAAATGCACAGGTCAAAGCATCAGGAACACATAGCACAAGGACCTCTCCAGATTAAACAGGAAGAAAAGCCAAGGACACTTGAAGACTCTGTGAAGAAAGAAGATTGCCAAGTGATTGAAGGAGAGTCATCTGCAGAACCCAAGACTTCAGAGCCACCATGTCTCGAGTTAGCTGTTACTCAAGAGAAGCCCAAACAGGCTAGCAAGTTTGATAAGCTTCCCATGAAGATTGTGCGAAAGAAGGATCTATTTGTGGTGGACAGCTCAAATAAGCTTGGTCGGTTGCAGGAATTTGACAGCGGCCTCCTGCACTGGAGTATTGGTGGAGGTGATACAACAGAACACATTCAAACCCACTTTGAAAGCAAGATGGATCTGTTGCACCAACGGAAGCGTCTTCCTGCACAGATTCCTGACAGGAAGAGAGGAGCTCAGAAGGACAGCCAGGCACACTCACTACCCTCATCCAGTGAAGAGTGTGGGAAAGAAATGGAGTTGCAGCCCTCTTCAGAGTCATCCACTGAGAAAGTGACCAACGGAATTTCAGATTTGAGGGACGACAGACCTGCTGACTGCTTAGAAACTGCCTCTGAGGGGACTTCACACTTCGAGAAAGATCAAGAGAAACATGTAATTGAGACGACAACTTCAGAAAACATCATGCCAGCAGCTCCAAGCCCATCATTACAGGGTCAGCGCTCCATTGCCATTTTAGAAGATGAGCCACACAGCAAGGATGAAACTCCTCTCATCATGCTCTCAGACTGGCAAGATTCCCTTGCCCGTCGCTGCATCTGTGTCTCCAACATTGTCCGCAGCCTCTCGTTCATCCCGGGCAATGACTCGGAGATGTCAAAGCATCCAGGGCTGTTGCTACTGCTGGGCCGCCTGTTGCTTCTCCACCATCAGCATCCAGAGCGCAAGCAGGCGCCATTAACCTACGAGAAAGAAGAGGAGGTGGATGAGAGTCTTGGTAGCAAGAAAGACGAGTGGTGGTGGGACTGTTTGGAGGTACTGCGGGAAAATTGCTTGGTCACTCTTGCCAACATCTCAGGCCAGCTTGACTTCTCTGTCTACACTGAGAGCATCTGCCTGCCTCTGCTGGATGGCTTGCTCCATTGGGCCGTTTGTCCTTCAGCGGAAGCCCAAGACCCTTTCCCTAGTCTCGGGCTTAATGGCGCCTTGTCCCCCCAGAGACTAGTCCTGGAGACCCTCTGTAAGCTCAGCATTCAGGACAACAATGTGGACCTCATTCTGGCGACGCCACCTTTTAGTAGATTAGAGAAGCTGTTTGGTAACCTTGTGCGTCTAGTTGGAGAGCGAAAGGTGCCTGTTTGTCGGGAGATGGCGGTCGTGCTGCTGGCCAATCTTGCACAGGGTGACAGCCTGGCGGCCCGTGCCATTGCGGTACAGAAGGCCAGTGTAGGGAATCTATTGGGCTTCTTGGAGGACAGCTTAGCAGCTACACAGTTCCAGCAGAGCCAAGGTTCCCTACTGCACATGCAGGGGTCACACTTTGAGCCGACAAGTGTGGACATGATGCGGCGGGCTGCTCGGGCTCTGCTCGCTCTTGCTAAGGTGGAGGAGAACCACTCTGAGTTTACGCTGTATGAATCGCGGCTACTGGACCTTTCTGTCTCCCCGCTCATGAACTCATTGGTGTCCCATGTCATCTGTGATGTACTCTTTTTGATAGGCCAGTCATGACAGCTGTGCGGAGCTGTAGCTCCACCTTCTCTGGTTTTCGTACTTCCCCCTTGCCTGTCCTCCCCATTGGCGAGTGGGGATTGAAAGCGGAGGAAATTGACTGTTTCTTGTTCTGTTTTTTTATTATTTTTTTTTATTTATGCAAGCCCTTTCATATTACACCAACTGGTCCCCCTTTTCTCTGCGTCTCACTTTGGGAAGATTGTCACGATTTTGCTGTGGATCATGAACCAGAGCCTCAACACTGACACAAACTGTAACACTGATGCCAACTAGATGACATGGACAGGGACCCCAACTTTTGTGTCCTTGTCTGAGGGGAAAGTACTTTTTATAATAAAAGAAATAAATGAATAAAATAAATAGCTTGAAAAAACAAACTATTTACCAAAGTTGCTGTCTTGTTTACAGTGAGTTTTGGGGTTAATTGTTCCTTTGTCCTCCCCAAGAGGATGCAAATAATACACAGCTCTTGTTCACATTGACAGGTGCACTCTTCATTGTTTGGTGGTTGTATTTTGATGCTACACGGTCAACCTTTCTGGATGCGTGTACAACAGAAATGAGTTGTCATTTTCTGTACAGTACACCACAACTGTAAACATACTGCAAACGTACTGCACTGTTCCACATGGGGAAAATGTTGGCTCAGTCGGCTTCGTTTTTAAACCGTTTTTAAACCATTAGTTTGCTGGTGAGGAGAATACCCCCAAAGTATCAAGGACGTACAACACCCTGACCTCTTCTCTTTAACCCCTGATTGTATGAATTGACCCCCTATAAAGAAATCACCTCCTAGGACTGGTTTTCAACTTAAGATGCAGCCGAGGCTGTACTGTATATAAGATGTACATTTTCACCTCCTTTTCTCTCTCTTTCTCTCCCTCTCTTTCACACACACTCTTGCTTCTTATCCCTTTTTATCTATCAAGAATGAGAGCGGACACTCAAGTTGGGTTAATTGCATCAAAATACTTGGGTATATAAACTGAACCATCTTTTGGCCTCCACGGTTCCTCCATAGTGCAGCAAACAACTGAAATATTTTAATTTCATCTCCTGGTACAAAATAACTCTAGATGAAGAAACACAGCTGAGATATTTTTTTCTCCAGTGATATGAATTCTGCATATTTGTATTTCAGACTATGTAGCTTAATGTAAATTCCTTGTTTTTTCCCTTTTTGGCTCAATGAATATCATTTATTCACTATGAAATCTTTATACTATATGTTCCACGTGGTAAAAATAAATGTACATTAAATCTTGGTAAGATCTTTGTGGTTATTTTCATTTAGATGATAAAAAATAATTAAAATAAATAAATAACAGGCCTCTTCCTCGAATTCTGTAATTATGAATGGAAGGTGAAATCAGAATGTAATTTTTTTTTTTAATGCTGTCTTTGCATGTTACAATTTAACTCAATTTGTAAGATTTTATATTACTCTTATACTAGTGCTCAAAGATATTTTGTACGCTAATAAGATCTCCATCAGTTGAAAAGACAATGAAAACCGATTGATTTAATTATATGTCTCCTGAAGCAAAAT